TATATATAGGGAGATATGAAAACTGTCCATGTGTCCCCTATGTGACATTATAGTTTATGATTTCCTCTGTATGGACTACGAAAAGTCTTTCTGACCTCTAACGAAGGTCGCACAGCTCCTGACAGGGAGGGAAAGGCAAATCTTATGAATGGCTTGGCTGATGGAGGCAGAGACTGGGAGGGGATACTTATGGTCAACATAAAAAAAAACCCCAAAAACCTCAGCACTTTGTAAAGGGGTCTCATTTCATTGGTGGATGCGTATTCAGTGGAAAATGAGGCTTTATTCACTGTATCTAAGCCAGATTGGCGAAAATATTTGTGTCTTTCTATTATAACACCCGCATTTTCTGGTAACTGTTGCTACCACGTGTTGCCACAGGAGTCGGCAAAACTGCAAGGCGACATTTGTGAAGTGTAATGACTCGCAAAAACAGCGCTGAACATAAAAGCGGGATTCGGGCGTGCTTTGCAGAAGCAGATATATTTTCCAGAGGGGCCATCTAACAGCTCAGAGAGCTCAGCTCCGAAGCGCCCGCTCGCCTCTACATGCCGTGGAATCCATTGAGAGAATTTCGCAGCGTTAGTCATCGCAACAGCTATCCGCAGTGTGTGTGTGTGTGTAGCAGTCGCCTATAGCCTCTCTTGCACCTCTTGCACCGGAGATCCACAGTAGGCGCCGTGCAGGGCTTGGCTACAGACGCAACTCCGCGCTGCTGATGTGGTGTGCCTGTGCACCGCGTGCGTGATTTCTCCTGCACCCACCCCGCAGAGGTTTGGTTTTTTGGGTTTAGTTTTGTTTTTCAAACAGAGTCTGCCGGCATGCTCACACGCCGGTTGGGTCCGTGCCGGTGGGCCGGTGGGTGCCCGGGTCATTAGGGTGTTTGCGCAGGACGTGGCGAGGCGAGGCGACGCCGTTGACCGGGCAGGTGATGTTTGCTCACGTAAGCCGCTCGCGTTTGATGAGGGGCGCAGGGGACGCGGCTGGAGGGTGCGCGCTACTGTTGCAACGCCTCACCGGATAACCGCTGCTCTCTCATCCTGTACGTTGGACCTCTCCGCGGTAGGGGGTTTGTTGATTTCCCCCCTTTTTTTAATTTGAATTTTTTTGCTTCCTGACTAACGGATTTGCAACACTGGGACTCTTGACGATATATAAGTGGATAAAGGAGCCGATACTGCGTGTGCGTGGAGCACAGCATATCATTTCTTGTGATTCCCCTGTACGCGCAAGTCGCTTTTTTTTCTTTCCAAAGAGGCAATGCGCCCACCCATGCGATGCTAGCCTATTAGCTGGAGAGAGAGAGAGAGAGAGAGCGAGAGAGAGAGAGAGAGGTTTCAGCCCTGGATTCGAGAGGAGACTAATTTACGAGTCTTGTTTTGCCTTTCAGGAAAAGGGGAGATAAGAGGGGGGAGGGTGGTTGGTGAAGGAGAATGCAGCAATCACATTTTTAAGCATGCAGAAGCGGGCCGTTTCCGGTTCCTAGGCTGCTGTGTCCCCCCCATCCGACGCCAGCAGCCGTATGGGGAAAGCAGCGGCAGACACAGATGGCATGGACACTTCCACAAGGTCTGCCGCTCTGCCCTGCCTGCTCTGCCGGAGCCCGTTCGCCGCCGTCTCTCTCTTCCAGCTCGCTCCGCCGCCCAGCAGCACTGCAGCACAGCACAGGCTGACGGCATGAGGCTTGATCCAGTGCATTTCTCCATGCTGGTCATCGGGGTCTCCTTCGCCTGTTACGCCCCGAGTCTCAACTCCCTCCAGGACCAGGCGTACAGATCAGCCGTGGTCATCGAGGGCGAGGTGCGCTCCTCCCCGGAGAACGTCTCCTCCCGGGAGCCCTACAGCGTGAATGTCAAGGTGCTGGATGTGTGGCCCGTCAACAGCGGCGGCCTCGAGAGGGAGCAGCTCGTGACCGTCGGGGACTTCGGTTCCGAGGCCCCGTGCACCACGGTGGAGAAGGACCACAGATATATCTTTTTCATGGACCCCACCGCCGAGCCCTTGGTATTCAAGGCATCGTACGCCCCCGTGGACGCCAGCGAGCCGGAGTCGAAGAAGGATGTTGAGAGAGTGTTGTGCGAGGACTGCGGTAAGTTTAAGGCTTTTCCCTCATACCTGCCATCCACTCACAGCGCACTAT